TTGTATAGGGCGTTGTCGTCGCCATCGCCGTAGTGAAGCTCGGGGTCGAAAGCAGCGCGGGCTGAGAGCGCGCTGGCGGTCATGTCGTGGCCACAACGGTCGGTGAAACGACCGTCTGCTGCAGAGCTTGTTTACTCCTCTGGAGACAGTGAATTTAATTACTACAATACAGGCAGCGATGCGATTAGGATACTACCGGGTTTTAGGGATATATACAGATGGCTGGCACGAGACACAGGAACGACAACCAGCCATCCGTTGGAAGGGGCAAGATGCAAGGCAATGGCAATGGAATGTTCAGCTACCCGATTTGGAGACACAGCCACACGGCCCCCGGAAGACGGCCCCCGTAGTAAAGTGGTTCGGCCCGTATATCAATTGCCTCTTAAAATCCGCGTGAAACTGAACCGGATACTGAGCCTCGGCTGTCTGTATGCCGAGGAGAGCATATACGACGCTTACCTGGATAATTTTCGCGATATATTACGTATGTGTTGGTTCCTCGGCTCCACGTATGTCCACGAAAACATGATCACATCAGTTCTTCTTGACGAGGGGATCCTACAACCACTCAACCACGTGGCAAAACTCTGCCGCGATGGCCACACTCGTCACGCCGCTATTGCTGAACTTCGGAAGATTTCTGAGCAACGAAACACGCATTCGTTATATGTGGTGTTGAAGATGGTTGAACGATGCGTTGCGTTGGAGGAAGACTCGCTGGGTGAGGGTTCGCGCTGCTCTGATATCCCGGAATGGCGTCGGATACATAGCTGTGGGTTTGACGGTCCTCAGAGTCTCGAATTACGGCATGTACGAGTCATATTCACGAGTCTCCCTAATGGTGCTGATGGGGATTGGGGCTCTCGCGAAGAGACAATTTCCTGGTAGTGAAACCGATTATTTCCCATAGTGAAGTTAAAATGAAGTGGTTCACTCCTTACTCTATGGCATTCACCTATCCATAGTGTCTCATGTCTCGAGCGATCCTTAATTAAGCTTATGGAGAGAATGGTTTGCTGAAAATGGCACGTCCTTTCCTCGCTTCTGTCTGAAAGACCAATTTGTAGCTGCCCATTGGTCACCGAAAGCAAAGCCAGGATGAATGACTGATAGAATCAGAGATGCCAGCCCTATCATGGCCCCGTCGAGAACCATGAACAGGGGCTCGTTATTCCAAATGGGACCACCGAAGCCTTCCCACAACTCCACCACTCGAAAGACGGATCGAGCAAGGATGGCGATCGTGGATACAAGTAGACCAAAGCCAAAAGCCTTGAATATCTTAGTATCCCTAACCACTTTAAGCGTTGGCGTTTGGTCCGTGGCTCCGTGATGGCAACGGAAGGCGAAATCGAGGCAAACTAGCAAGAAGGCACCTAGGCTGACGACTTGCAAGATCAATCCAACAATCATAGTGTCGACGCCTCTTTGTTTCCCCTGCAGGCCCTCGGAGACGCACGTAGCTGCTCCACCAATTGCTTGACGTAGCAGGGATATAAAGTCGGATACCATGAAGGCAAGCGCGATCGTTCGGGGGTTGAGGCGTGAGTTATGGGAGCCATATAAGTTAATTATCCGAGCCAAGCATAGATAGATTGCGGCAGATATGAACACCGGTGCAATGGTGATTGCAATGAGGTATCTGGTCGCAAAGGGTCAGCCTTTTCACTAGCTCATAGCATGGGGGGCGGGAAATTACATCCAAAAGCCCATGCCATTGAACGGATCCTTAGAGAGCATGATCCTTCCGATATAGCCAAGGAGTTCTAATAGAAAACCGAAAATGGATCCAACGGCATATCCCATGGGTTTCCGGCGAAAGCCGACGACTCCCCGAGGAATGATAAGGAGGCCGAAGAGAATGGCAAAGAAGAGGTTGCCCCCAAGGGAAGGAAGGTAATTGAAAGACGACTGTGCCAGACAGCACGTATCCAAGGTGCATTTCCAGCCGACAATATCATAATTGCAGTTTTCGTAAGGGTCTCGTGCCATTGTGGATGATGTCTGGTAAGTGAGGTTTTTGTCCTGCTAATAAGGATGGGTGGGAAGGGCTGGACAGATGCCCAAGGCGATGCGATAAATAAGGCCAACTGTCATAAAAACCCGGCCAGTAGGGCCATGGAGAGCACGTTCACACGCCCCGTATTGGTAAAATTCCCCTTCGGCGTTCTTGCCGCCAGATTGGCTGGTTCGTTTACGCGTCACGGGTACGATCTATTTAGGAGGCGAAAGGTAGCAGCCCTCGGCTTGTGCTCACTCTTCGCCGCTGCAAGGAACGTTTGATCGCAGAGGTCTTCCAGTTGGTCTGGTTGCGCACCAGGAGTTGGCGGGTCGGATCTAGCGTGTTGGTTTCGGGTCTGCCATTTGCTGGCTCGTTCAGGTGGAGATATCGTGGTTTCTTAGCGCCCCAACCGATGTCGACACGCGGCTAGCTCAATAATAATTGACTCGGGAAACGGCACCGTTTTGAGGTGACCTTACAGGCGCAGCCAGACCTACAGGACTGGGTTGCCTGGCCCTTTACGGGGGACTCCCCATGTATGTCGCGAGGAACAGGTGGCGTGCCTGGCCTTTTGGCTGGACTTGCCGATGCCATCTGCCTTTACTAAATCAGCAAACCGGAAGGGATGTGCTGGCAATACGTCAGCAAGTTATGCCTGTATCGACGACACTTTCTCGGAAGGCTCAGGCTCGCCACGGGGTGCCGTGCGAGCCCTTCATGAGATATTTAAATCCTTGAGGGCTCTGAGACGCAAATATAGGGCTGTAAAAGCCGATTAAATGAACTGATTCGGATACCTACAACTGTGCGTACCCGCTCAGATCTCCTTTTTCTCACTCTGTGCCCCTCTCGACCTGTATAGTCGCCGTTTTCTGGCGAGCGCAATAGTCCCCAGTGGCTGTATAATAAGAACTTGAATGACCGTTATAATGAAACGGATTGCGTAGTCGGTTAAGTTAAGCCGGGGTGTAGTACCTCTGCTGAAAGAGGAGTCGATGAAATCGAATGGAAGCGTTGCGCCTAGATGGTCACGGGCCACCCGTAATCCACTGCTAAACCCGTCCTCATGAAAGCCGTAGTTCGTCCATGCTCCGGCAAAGCTTACTCCGCGTTTGTTCTGGATATCTTGTAGTTTGATTTGCGCGGCAACTGCCCTCGACGTATATAGGGGGTGAGAGTAGTGAAAGCGGCCTTGGGTCAGTGCAGGCGATGGTTGATGAAGAGGGTTCAAAGTCACCAAAACGTGACCAAACTGTTCTGTAGGAATATGCTGCAGTGTGTTCATGTTATACGTCAGGGACACGATGTCGGTGGTTGTGCCTGGCTCTGGAGAAAGTGTCATGTAGTTCCAGCTACACCACGCGCTGCGCCTCTTGGGCATATGTGTGAGATCAGAGTGGAGAACAACCTCATTTTGTGACGTCTTAAAGGATGAGAGGATCTCTCGCTCTTCGTCTGTCGCTGAAGGCCCCAATATTGACAGCGCTTGGTCACCATGTGTAGCCAATATCACATGGTCAAAATTCTGCGATAGACCACCCACTGTGCGCAGCGTAATGCGCCCGTCTGCCTGGTTCTGCACACTCTGAACCGGGCTGTCCAGAAAGACATGGTCCGAAGGGATGCATTCCATCACAGCATCAATATACGACCTAGAGCCTTCCCTCAAGGTGAGCCATTCAGGACGAGAAGAGACGGTTGAAAGATTGTGATGATTCCATCTTTGCACGCGTCAGACAAGCTACAAACTGGCGCGGGCAGAAGAACTCACAGGAATCTGATTAGTGTGAGGACAGGGAACTCATCGATGCACGTTTTAGGGCTTGTACTCCATACGGCAGCAGTAATCGGTATCAGGTACCCATCTCGAAAAGCATGGGAGTAGCCATGGCGATCTAGGTAGTCTCCAATGCTTTCATCATGGATGGGATTGCCTTTACCGTCGTTGGAGCCCGCTTTATCGGCGTCAATCAAGACATCCAGAGCAAATTGGTTGAACCGGATGATGTCGAACAACATTCGCCACATCTGCGTGGAAAAGAGGTTCTTTGCTTGGCAGAATACCGAGCGTACGTTCTTCCCGGCCCATTCAAAGGAGCCATAGTCTCTTGAGACACCGAGGGCCATGTCAGTCGTGTCCGTGGCAATATTCAAGATCTTCAAGAAGCGGAGAAAGTTGGCTGCAAGGTGTCAGTTGCTGCCCATAGTGTACTTTTCAAGGCTCGCCGTTCGGTCTGGATGACGAGCGCACTCACGATAAGTAGCAGTATTAAGCACAATAAACCCTGTGTCGACTCCTACAGAGTACTTCCCATTCTGCCACAGGACTGTGTTGGAGTGGCCGCCGAGTCGAGCCTCTGCTTCATATAGATACACGTCGTGTTGTGTATCCTTCAAGGCCCAGAGAGCTGCAAGCCCGGAACAACCGCTGCCGACAATAGCGACTTTCTTGGCCACACAGGCCCCGGCCGGCTGCCCCATGATGAACAGCGACGTATTAACCTCACCTTGACCGAGAATTCGAGTTGTGTTTGTGAGCGTGCCAGAAGAACGCGGAGTCGCTTCAGCTCAGTCTCGAGGCAGAGGGCGGGGGCCACTGCTTTTGGGCCGATGCGTCACCAAGGTAATTGCAGAAAGCATCGGTCCTGTGGGAGGATCGCAGTGGGTGCAGTCACTGTCGTCACATCTCGGCGAATCCCGTAATGAGCTTAGTGCGGTAAGCGCACAGGCGAGGTCGCTGATCATGTCTTACGGCCAGCGCCGTGGCGCACGACGCGCTCGCCATCCGAAGCATTTCTGACGACCCGGCATGACCAACATTCTCTAAAAAAGTACTCAATCTATCGGGCACCAATTCTGCCTGTTGTTGAACAAGGGGCCGGAATCTCCAGTTCCTATTGCCCAGCGGAGAATCGTGCTCCAGTCTTGTCTTCGTCTCAACGCTTTACGCATCCCGTGGCCAGCTGCTACATGTTCTTCTTGCTAAGATCATGCAATGGACTATGGTAAGCCCATGAAATATCCATAAACACTGCTTGCTATACACAATGCAAACTCTGCAAACTCGCAGGGTCAGGCTGCCAGTGACATATTCTCCGATACACTGAATCAACTGTACCCTTATAGCTAATGTCTCTCGTTCTACAGACTGGGTAATCGATGCAGGCTATGTTCCTGAAAGCATAGTCAGATTCGGTACCAGACAAATACAAAAGGCGCAGGAGGCCAAAATCTCCAAAAAGTCGTTCGCGGAGGCAATGAGCGAAAGGTTGGACTACGTTGCGAGTTTGCGCTCGCAGCCGATCGCAGTCGAGACCACGGCTGCGAACGAGCAGCAGTACGAAGTCGACACTGGTGTGTTTGCGGCTTTTCTCGGCCCTCGCATGAAGTATTCGTGTTCGCTGTTTCCAACGGGAAAAGAGACACTTGCAGAAGCAGAGACTGCGATGTTAAAGGAGTACGCCACAAAGGCAGAGCTCCAGAATGGTATGACCATCCTGGACCTTGGGTACGTGTCGTTTGACTCTCTTGAGTGTGTGTATCGTCTCATGGCACTGAAGCCTAATGCCATCTAATGTAGGTGTGGTTGGGGATCCGCAACGCTTTTTTTCGCAGAACAATTTCCAGCTTCCAGAGTGATTGGATTCTCCAATTCAAGGACCCAAAGAGATAAGGTAGTTGCCGACGCTGCAAAAAGAAACCTCGAAAATGTCGAGGTCATCACAGGAGACATAGCCACGTACGAGTTCGGACCCGCACAATTCGACCGCGTGGTTTCTGTTGAGGTAAGAACTCAGCAGACAGCACACTCGTCTTGAAGGACGCATTGCTCACAATCATACCGAAGCTCTTTGAACACATGAAGAACTACGAGCTACTGATGGCGAAAGTCGCATCGTCCCTCAAGGTTGGGGGCAAACTCTTCGTCCAGATTCTGTGCCACCACAGCACACCGTACGACTTCGATGACGGATGGATGGCGAGATATTTTTTCGCTGGCGGAACCATGCCATCTGCGGACTTACTACTGTATTTCCAGCGGGACCTACAGATAGAGAAGCAATGGTGGGTGAGCGGGTTGCATTACTCGAGGACTTTACAGGTCAGAACTCCCATCCGGTGAAACCGAGTCGTCTGCTTCGGTAAGGCTTGCTCACATAGTATCTTCACTAGTGCTGGCTTTCTGCGCTCAGAAGTAACAAGCAACAAGTATGGCCGTACCTTGTCGAGTCGTACGGCGAAGCTAATGCGTCGACTTGGTATAATCGGTGGCTTGTGTACCACGCAGCGGGATCGGAACTCTTTGCATTTCGGGGAGGTGACATCACAGGGACTTGCCATTACCTATTCGGCAAGCCTAAGCAATGAATTTGTTCCTCTTTTACATCTACTCTCTAGCCTCATTTACCTCAACTAAGGCATTATAAATGCGTATTATGGTCTATAGTGGTATCCCGTCCATCAACTCCATAGCTCCGACTCTACCAATCGTGACAATGACGTCGCCCAGTGTCCTCGTCAAAAAGCCAGCTTCACAATACGAAAAATAGTACTATGACGTGGTAGAGTCAGTTACCATGCAAACTTGTCGCGACGTGGCATATAGCATAAAGACAGTACGTAACGTACCTCCCATTTCCGGCGGAAGATCTCAGTGGCCTCATGGGACGTGGTTGGAGCATGAGACAATATGGTAGTCGCGATCTTGTCATCGAACTCCATGATGAACTTCTCCTTCCATAGGCGCAATGCCCTTGCGTAATGAGCTCCAATGTTCTCAACAGATTCCACTATCAAGGTGCCTTTGGACTGCGTTGTCATGTGGCTGAGCAACTCTGTAATGGACGGCAAGTAGCCACCAGGGAAAATGTACTGATCGATGAAGCTACAGCGCAAGAAAGTCAGTACCGAAGCGTATGGCAATGTGGTAGCTTATGTCGTGGCTTACCCCGGTTTGCCATCTCCAGCCGCGTGCAGAGCCTCTGGTATGGTGATGCACTGAAGCATTGCTATGCCATCGTCTTGCTTGAGCAACCTATGAATTCCGGCAAAATACTCTGCAAGATGAGCCTTTCCGACGGCTTCCACCATCTCTATGGAAATGATCTTATCGAACGGTTTTGAGTGGGTTGGTAGGTCACGGTAGTCCATCAACTTTACCTCAACGCGATGAGCCACTCCGGCCAGTTTGATCCTTTTCTCCGCCAGCTCCTTCTGTTTACGTGACAATGTGATGGACGTAACACGGCAGCCAGTTTGCTTTACCGCTTCAATCGCAAAGGAGCCCCAGCCCGTCCCGATCTCCAGGACATGATCCGATGCCGTCAGTTTTGCTCCCCGGATGAAGCGTTGAAGTTTTCGGTGCTGTGCATCCTCTAAGCTTTCCACCATGCGATTTGACTCCTCAAAAGGGGCAGTCCGCCAAATAGGACAGGAGTAAGTCATGTCCCTAGACAGAAAGGCGGCGAACATGTCGTTGCTTATATCGTAATGAGCAGCCGTGTTTAGCAACGAATTCGCACGCGTGTTCGTGGGTCGCCATATTCTCGCGATCGCTGACGACAGGGCGGAGAAAAAAGTCGTTCCGTTGCCAAGATTATCTCTGTTCCTGATGAACAGCTAGTCGCGAAACGAATTGTGAACCTGGGTCCGCGGGCATGTTGGTGAATCAGTGTCATACACACCTGAAAGAAGGCAGGCAAATCGTTGCATTCAACATCGCCGAGCATGTAAGCCTTGGCGAACCCGATATCGGCGAAGAAAAGCAGTCTCAACCAAAAGGCGTTGCGTTTTACAATCAGCTCCACGTCGAATGAACAAGGTACGTTCTTGTCGGCAGCTTTTTGGTCCCCATCAAGCGGATGGCGACCGAGGACGTGCATGGTGCTGCTGAGCTCGTCTGTCACGACGAGACGTCCGGTCGTGATGCTGGAAAAAATGCGCAGCACAACCAGGCGGGCCATATTGGCTAGCAACAGCTGCGCCCAATTGAGAAGCTTGGCCGTAACGGCCCCGAGCGCGGAAGCAATTGCGGCGGCCATTTTGCTGTGGTTTGTGGCTGTTGACTGCGTCTTGTTTGCCAGACAACACCAACAATACCACCGACAGCGGCCAAGCTGCGCATCTAGGGCATTGTCTACAAGGTGCCCCGCCAGCTTGGTCGGCGAGGGCCAGCCTCTATGTGAGGCTCGGGGCCTTTTCTTCTTTAGGCACTGGCCGAGTCCATTCACTTGTCCCTTGGACGAGATAACGTAATCCACCACCGAGTGCGCCACACCACCGAGTGAGCCACTTTCTACTGCAACACGTATATAATCTTCAACCAAACCACCATAAAATGAAGTACCTACAATAATTACATTTAGTTTGATACATTAGACCCTTCCGTAGCATTCTGGCACGTTCGTACGTTATGGCCAGTCCCGCCGCATTTACTGCAG